GAACTGCCTTCCAATAACTCCTTGGTCACTAGGGATAGGAAGGTGAGGAAGTCACCTCCAAGAAACCTATGACCTGAGGCTTGGCTCAGGCTCGCCACCAGGGTCCGCTCCATCATGGCACCCACAGAGTGTCAATACTATCTGCTTCCCCTTCTGTCTCTTGATCAACTGGGAGTGGCTCGAGGGCCAGATGAATCTTCTTCATCCAGGTAACCCTGGCACCTGCACAGGTGTCCCTCCAGTGCCTGGACACTGAAGGAATAGACAAGTGTATTAGAGAATGAGCAAGGCTGGGGGACCTCTCAACAGATCGGAGAGCAGATGGCACTTCTGGGGGACCCAGTATTCCCACCACCCTCAGGGCTGGCCAGGCCAGAACCTTGAGGACCCCAGGGACTCTTCTGAAATTGTTAGAATACGTAGGTCTGTTTTGTTGATTTTTTTAATGCTTTTCCCTTTCTTAATAGGAAAGTAATTTTTTTCTACATCTACAGTGAATCCTTAATAGAGATCTATCCTCTACGTGACAAAACTTGGGCTCCTGCCCTAGGCCCATGCCCCACCACAAATAAAGTGGGCAAACCTCTCGACTTTGAGGGGCTGGTACACTAGGGGCTGCCACACACCTTGGAGCTCTGTCAGCTTAGCCTGCGGGGCATAAGAAGCTACAGTCTTTACTTGTGTCTTTTAGTGACAACATAGGCCATGTGAGATGTGCTGCTATTCATTGACCCTACAAAAACATAACTCCATATTTTACATAATTTGCAAATTGGAGACTTGGCTTATTGCATTATGGTGGAATTTCACTATATCAGGCACCTATTTTGTGCCATGATAATATGTTAGATTTATGGCTATGTGCAAAATTGATATGGTCTCTGCTCTTATGGAACTTTCTCATAGAGGAAATAGATAAAAAGCTAATAAAATAACTGCAAACTGGGATAAAGACTACAAAGAAAGCGGAGGACTGAAACAGAAACTGTTTTTCACTCCATTTTACATGATTGGGGAGAGTTCTCCAAAGAGGTGATATTTAAGTTGAGACCAGGAGTTTGAGGTAGAGAGAACTTGAGAGAAAGCTTATATATAGCAGGAACAGCATGATCAAAGGCCCTGAGGAAGAACTGGAAAAGGCTTATTTTTAAGCTGGACGATAATAGAGCCAAGAGTCCTAGAGCAACCTCAAGAAAAAGAAACAGGAAGATGGAATCACCAGAGTTAGCCTCAGGGATAAGGCTGAGTCACAAGTTCAAATTCCCTATGGGGCAGATAGTTCTAGACTGTCTGAGACCAGGGGCTGCAGGGGCCTGTGTCACAATATGGGGATGACTCAAGGCAATGACCATACATTGTAAACCAAGGAAAGCCCTCCTGAGTCCTAGAGATAGTGTGGGCTACAGGACCCTGATGACTGGGAGCAGGTGGAGTTCCACACTCTTCTTCCTCACTAAAAAATATGGAGCCTACCCTGAATCTCATTCATTCATTCGTTCATTCATCCATCAGTGATCTGTTGAGTCCTACCCTGTGCAAAACACTGTGGCTAGGCTCCAGGGACAGAGCAGTGAATAAGACAGATGAAACCCCTGCCCTCAGGAGTTCGTTCCCTTAGCAGCAGGGAAAAAATCAAACAAAACCCTGCACAAAATTCAATTTTGGTGGAGGAATCTCCCTTTTGAATAGGGGTTCTGAGCTTTGGGTTTATCAGTTTTTGTTCAGTCGATTCTTTTCTAGTGGATTGGACTCTGAGACCAGAGTGCCTTGGCCCTTCTGTCCCCTTTCCTGTTTGGTGAGAACTGAAACACACACACACACACACACACACACACACACACACACACACACACACACACAAACGCGCACACACCCCTCCCCTTCAGAGGGCTGTAAAAGGCCCACCCACATAGGCACATCCAAACACACATGCTTCTCTAATCTCCCCAAATCCTCCAAAGGCTGGGGTAGAGGGTGGCTTTCTGCTTCCCCAGTTAGCACAGGACAAGCTGGGCTGGGGATCTGGGGAGCAGTGATTAGTCTTAGCCCTGCAGCCCCCTCCCCTGGGCTGGTCCCTGGGTCCCAGCTGCTGTGAATGAGTGTGTTGGGCAAACATCTTTGCAGCTTCCTGCTGCTCCCCTCTAAGCCAACAGAGCTCTTCCTCCTCCTCCCCACACCTCCCAGCTGGGGCTTCTCTGGGATCCCCAGCCAGTTCCCTCTAGAGAAACTAGCCATTCCTTCCCCTTAGCCAGAGGAAGGAGGTAGAACATGCACAGACTGTATCTACAGACATAACCTTCTTCCTCTCTGGTGCTTTGTCTCAGCTCTCTGTCCCGTGCATGCCATGGAGCTGAAGGACCACAGGGTACAATGGAAGGAAGCCGCATCAGGGGGACTGAGGGAGAGTGGGTCAGACAAGGAGGAGACTCCACATCTCGCAGGAAGGGCAGCCCCTTCTGAAGGAGTCTCTCAGAGTCACATAGACAGGACTCCATGAAGGTCTCACAGCAGAAGGACTAAGGCCTTGGCTGCTTGCTTAACTTCTTGTTCTCTGTCCCTGTCTCTGTCCAAGGGAGCGCATGTTTCTTTCAGAGCTGTGTTTAGGGGAGCTTACATTTTTTGCTTTTAGTATAACAGAGCACACAGGGTTCTCATGTAACTAGATGGCACACTCCTCTCCACTTTCCAGATCTGCATGTCCCTCCTTATTCTCACCCCTGGAAGCTTTTTTCATCCTCCTGCAAGACGAAGAGGAAGTTGGGAATCCCATTGGAAGGGACTGTAGACACAGGTCCCATCCATGTCTTCCCCCAGAGGAGGAAAGTGACTCGTTCATGGTCACAAAGCAACTCCTGGCTGAGTGGTTCTAATGATCACCCTATCCAGTCTCTGCAACAAGTCAGCTATGGTCTCTTACACATCAGGCTTTATGTGATATTAGTCTTTGCATTAATTATCTCACTGAATTGCCACAATAATGCTATGGGGAAGGTCCTGATCTCCATTTTTCAGATGAGAGAATCAAAGCCCAGAAGAAGAGATATCACTTTTCTGGAGTACCCAGCTGGCTGGTAGCAGAAGCTAGACAGACCCACTCTTCCCAACTCCTAGCCCAGGAGATCTTTCTCTCTTTCCTCAAACACCATTTTCTGTCCCCCTGCCTCAGCCCCTTGTCCCATGTGAGAGAAGGACATCCTCCGCAGTGCTGTCCTTTCTCCACAGCCCAGTGCTAGACACCACTGCTGACTGGGGCTCCCTTCCTGCGCTAGACCAAGGCCCAGAGGAGCAGCTGGGGATGCAGGGCTGAAAGGAGCAGCAGGAAGAGTTCAGAAGAAATCCCAGCTCAGAACTGCTAAGGGCTGAGGGGGGTTCTACTGTTCCTGTTGACCAGGAGGGTCTGAGCTCCATCTGGGCTCTGACCACCCCCTTCCTTCTGATCAGAATCTTTTATCAGCTCCAGGAGAGAAGCGTGTATCCCCAGAATCCTGCTGTTTTATTCCTAGGAGTGGTGATAGAACCATCCTTAGAAAGACTCCATCCAACTTTTCCTCATTGTACAAAGAAACTGAGTCTGGGGAGGAGAGGTGGAGACATGGCCCAAGCTCACAGGCAAAGTGGAGCCAGAATAAGAATCCAGGCCTCTCTGCTTCCAATGCAACCCTCTCTCCTAGTACCTTTGGCTTGTCTGTTTGATGGGGACCATGCATGGCCTTTCCCAGAGAGCAGGTGATAGTGCTGTGCTGTGTAAGGGAGAACAGATGACCCTCACCCCATGCCTCCCTGCCTCGGGCTCCTGTCTCTATGACTGTGTGTTCACCTCACTCTAGACCCTGGGACAGTTTAGGTGGAAGTGCCAGATACCCAAGTCCTCCAAGAACTTGACTGTTGTCTGGCCAAGTTTGTCTTAGTCCCAGTAGGTACAGGCCATGCTTGACCATGGGTGTGTGTGTGTGTGTGTGTGTATGTGCAACTTTGGTTCACTGCACAGGGGGTCCCTATTAGATTCCCCAAACAGCCCATGTTTCTTCCAGGAAGGCCCCTCTGAACCCAAATATTTCCTCCCTTGCTGAGCCCATGCCCCTCCCCCATCATGGCCTTAGGGCTGAGCCTGGGAGAAGGGAGGGAGGAAAGGAGAGCCACGTTTCCTTAGAGAGGGAGAGGAAGAGAAAGGAGAAGGGAAAGACAAGCCCAGAGACAGACAGTCATGAAGCCACAGGGAGAGAGAGACAAAGTCTGCAGAGGGACTGAGAGACTGTGCAGCGACTTAGAGACAGAGACGGTGAGAAAGGCCTCCTTCCTGAGCGATCACCCTGTGCAAGCCCTGACCCGTAGCCTCAGGTTCCTCCCTGGGAGGTCTCAGGCCTGAGTCTTTGGGGCGGCCAGGGCAGCACCCCTCAGTTTCTGGGTCTGGCTCAGATCCTGCCTAGGTCTGGCTCTGACCCCCTAGGAGCGCCGGGTCTTTGGCTCTCTGAACGCGCCCCTGTGCGCCCCCAAGCGGAGATCCAGCAGCCGAGCGGCCGAGGCCCTAAAGGGGGCGCAGGAAAGGACGCCGCCACTTTGCGCCCAATCTGGTCCCACAACCCTGGGGATGGGTGGATGGCGGCTAGAAGACGCGGGTGGAGTGTGTGTGTGGAGTGGGGGGGGAGGGCAGAACTGGTGTCTCTTGAGCTCATATGCGAGGATCGGGTGGCCCAGATGCCTCGACGCCCCCTTCCCCTGGAGGCGGAGAGCAATGCTTGCACAAACTGAGCCCCTGGGAGGGGCGCGCACTGGCGCAAGCTTCTACCCTCCCGTCCAGGCTTCGCGTCTACAGGAGGTGTCCGGGGACCTAGTCGCCAATCTCAGGGCTCTAAGCACGTGAACCTCCAGGAGATCCTGCACCCAGCCCCCTCCCCCGCGCCTGCCCAAATGCTATATAGTCCGGTCTTTTCTGTGGGCCCTGGCGCGTGGCGAAGAGGGGTGCCGAGTTGTGCAACAAGGAAGGAGACCCTCCCTCTTACCGCATTGTTGAGGAAATCCGATTCGTTCAGATCCCCCAAGTCCAGGAAGCTGGATCCGGGGAACAGCCTGTCGGCCGGGAAGGGTTCCAAGACGGCGTCCATCGCGGCCGGCTTCGGGGATCCCCTTCGGCTGGGCTTCCCTCACTCCAGGGCTGCGGCGAGCCCAGCACGGAGCTCCTGCCTGAGCGCGGGCGGGCGGGCGGGGGGCAGGTCCTGGGCAAGCCCCGGGGGAGGGGCGGGCGGAGGCGGCGCGGCCCCGGGTCGGGGGCGCAGGGGCCTTAGGGCGCGGAGCAGGCTGGCCTCAGGGGCCCCGGGCGCACCGTGGGCATTTAGCCGACTCCTCCTCCTATTCCTCCCGGGGCGCAGCTGGCTTCCATGGGGAGCCCGTGGATGGCGCTGAGGCTCTAGGGGCCCCCGGACCGGGTGGGAGCCGGGGGCGGGGGAGCTCAGCGCTCCCCCGAGACTGGGTGGCTGCTGGCCTCTCAGCTCTCTCTGCGTCTCCCTCTGCACGGCTTCTGTCACTTTCCTGTCTGTGAAACCGGGAACCCTGGCTGGGCAGCCCAGCTGGCCCAGGCGCCACGCCCCCACATCAATATTCACGATAACTCAATATTAATGAGAAGAGGGCGTGGCCTGAGGAATCGGCCCTCCTCTTTTAAAGAGACATCTGCAAGCTAGTTTGTTTCTTGCCAGTCGGTCCTCTGAACGCTCAAGAAAGGGCTTACAGCATAATCGTCCTGGAACCGATAACAGTGGCCCTGGCGCATGGGCGTCTGGTAAAAGATTTACCAACTATGATCGCATAACTTGACGAGGCAGCTGATTATTTCCATTCTTCCAGCTTTAATGCTGAAGACTGAACCAAACCCAAGGTCTGAGAACTCCTTTTCTCAGACTCCTCAGTGGGGAGATTTTCAGTTTCTTAACCCTAACAGCTCACTACTCACAAGTTTCGTCCTCCAGAAAGTCTTCCCTGAAGCCCCAGGTGGGAGCAGTCACCACCCCTGTGTACTCACAGGACATATGTGCTTACCTCCACTGTTTCCTGTGTTATGTGTTATGGTCCCTGTTTGTTCACGTTGTGACCCCCCCCTGGACTGTGAGACTCCTCCAGGCAAGGACTGTACCCAGTTTCCCTTGGTAGGAGAGGGCTCTGTGAAAAGCAAGAGATGAAGCAAGCACCCCTTTTCTCATCAACCATCAAGACCTCTGATGGTCTGAAGAACAGCAGTCTGGCTGTTCCTCTGAACCATTGCTTAATCAGGCATAGAACTTAATCTTTTAACAGGACTGGTAAACAACTCACAAGCACCTGATCAAATGAAAGTGTTTCAGGCAGGCTCTCCCTCCAGGGTTGACACTCTGTTTTCTGTCCAGAGTCATTTAATGGGATTATGAGTGTCCTCTGTGTGTGGGTAATTAGCTCAGGAACCAAGAGGCCTTTAAGAAGTAGAGATGTCAGAGCAGTTCAGCCATAGGTATCGCTGAAATCAGTCTCTCTGAGCCAAATCCACAGTGTTTGCTAGCCAGATGTGGGCGGGGCAGATAGGTGACTTTTCTCCACCTGGGTCTCATGACCCAGTTGACACAGTTCTGGTCAGTGAAGTTCTGACAATCAAGGTTGTCACATGACTGTTAGCTCCCAGGCCTCCTGTACAGTTTGATCCCAAGGTGCTGTGATTACAGTTCCTGATCCGGGGACTGGTTCACCAGCGAGGCAACTCTGAGAAGTTAGACTGGGCCCCGGAGAACTCAGTTCCCTCTCAGAACAGTGTGGGTGGGATTAGGGTGCTGGGACTAGGAGTATTTTCCCCAAATGTGTCCCATCTGGCCAACTGGGGACCATCCAAACACAGACTGTGATCCTTCTAGGGTAAGAGAAGTGGTCTCTGTCAAGTGGACAAGTCAGCCTGTTGTGGGGGAGCTTGTGTCAGCAGGTGTCTGGAGTCTTGGCTCCTGAGCCTGAGTCCCTATAGGCCCTTGGGGGGAGTAAAAGTGCCCCTCTGCTTGAGGTTGACTGGAAATTGTGCCTGGGTTCCCCTCAGCCTGCTCTGTAATTAGAGACACAGGTACCATTTAAGTGATTGGGGAAGATTATATAGTTTTAGATACACAGGATTAGAGTGTTCTGTCTTTCCTTATTCTTATCCAGGTGAACACCCCAGGAAACCATTGAAAATAATCCTGGGGAGACATTCTGGTTCCGGCATCTCCTGTGGAGGCTGAGACAGGATCTCCCAGAAGAAATCCTGGGGGGGAAGGGGCACCAAGAAGTCGGGGGACAAACAGGGCAGTGCTGGCGCAAAGCAAGAACATGATAATTTTCTTTCTGGAATGAGGAGGATGGCACAGTCCAGCAGGGAAGAGGATGGTGAGCTTTTATTCACACATTCTGTGAACAGTATTGAACAATCCCTAGGCCAGGCTCTAGAGACATGGTGATTAAGAATTTACATCCCAGAGTGAACATGGGAGCACAGGGTGGGTGTGTGGAGGAAAGTGTGGTCAGAAGTTTTTAAGACAATAATTTCAGATAGTGATAAAGACTATGAAGAAATAAAAAAGCGTAACATGACTGTGTGGGTAAGGAAGACCTCGCTGAGCGAGTCATGTGAGCTGAGAACTGAACCATGAACTTGGGGTCATTCATGAGGCAGAATGGAGGGAAAAGCATCTGAGGCAGAGGGAAAAGCATGCAGAAGAGAAAGAAAGAGCTGATGGAAGGACAGGCAGCAGGGCAGGAGTGATGTGATGAATGTGAAACTCCAGTGTCACACACAAACTGATACAGATGGTCACGCTGAGGCCGGGACTCCATTCCATGCCAGTTCAGACTAAAGTTACCTGCTTCCCCCTGCCCTTCTCCCAGCCTTCTAAGGATGTAGCTTGCCATACATCCTTTTATCCAGAATGGACCTGGATAAGTGCCTGCTAGGTAAGTGCTCTACCACTGAGCTCAGCCCCTCCTGTTAAGGACTCAGGAACACCTGGCCTCTGCTCTTAGCAGCTGCTCCAGCTGTGAAGTAAAACCTCCTGCGTAAAGACATCCCAACACAGTTGGTGACAGTCAGTGACGCACAGGAGGAAAAGGGCAGCGATAAACTTCCTGCCTGTCCCAGACATTGAAGGTCAGGGGTGGGGGAAGAGACTCCTGCCAGGTTGAGCCATGAGCAGGAATGGTGTGTGTGTGATGGGGGGGGGGGCGGTTGTCACACTGACAACCCCTTACTGTCCTTCTCTGAGTCTCAGTTTCCACAGCTTTAAGATGGGACAGGTACTGATGCCCCCAGGGCCTTGTTCACAGCAAGGTTCTTTCAAATGTGCCCTCCCCAGGACAGGGGTGAGGTGCTGGGAGAGAGGGAGGTGAAGGGCCTGGCCCGCAGGAGGCCTCGCACTCAGGCTGTCCAGGCTCCTGCGCTAGAGCCTCCAGGAGGGTGCAAGGCGGGTGTTTACCCGGAGCAGGCAGGCCTCGGGTGGCGGAGAAGGTCGCCCAAAGTAAATCTGCCTTGTTTGCCTGGATTATAAAGGAAAATCGCTTTGGTACACTTTAACAGGAACTTCTGAGAAATGAAAACATATTCATCCTGGAGATTAGGCTGACTTCCGGGGAGCAGACCGGGCCCTTTGTTCTCCTGTGATCCCTTAGAATGGGCTGCATGGCTGTACTCAGAGTCCAGGCATCCTGCCAGCACGGTGGGGGTGGGCTTCAGACTCCAGCTGTCACTTACCTTAGTGTTCTGCCCTTCACTCCCCTTGGCCTGGGCCCCTTCCCCTCTCCACCCTGAGCCATAGACACCTGCTGCTTATTGAGACTTCCTTTGTGCCTGCTCTAAATACTTTAATTGTATTATCTTTAAATCTTGGAACAAGCTTGTAAGATAAGTATTGCAGTTCACTGATTGTGAAATGCAAGTTTCTTTGCACATTTGAACACCTCTGAAGCCAGAATGCATCTTTTTTTTGGGGGGGTTCTTTTTGAGACAGGGTCTTGTTAACTTTCCTGGAACTTGTGATCCTCCTACCTCTGTCTCCTGAGTAGCTGGGGTTACAGGCATGCACCACCATGCCTGGCTCAGAATGCATTTTATAATTGATGGTTTCACAGTTTAGTGCACGCATTTTTCCCCTTTAACGTAAAGAAAATAATGTCATCAATATAGTTGATGGTACCTTAGATTCAGGGATATTCTTCCATCTCCAATCTGCAGATGAGAAACTACAAGTTCAAGGGGTTTATACTCCTTTCTCTTCTATAAAACCCGGCCTGGGGGCTGTGGGCAGCTTGCCCCAGGTCTCTCAGCTTCAAGAGGCAGAGGAAGGACTGGAAGCAGGGCTTCCAGCCTTCAAATCCAGGGCCCTTTCCACTCACCCCAGATGAACTGGGTTTGTTCACTGGGAAGAGGCAGGAGCTGAGGGGAGAACCTTCCAGAACTTTCCTCAGCAGCCAGTGAATCACCGTCCACCCAGCCTTGGAGAAAGGCCTTAAAGATAGATTTTTTTTCCTCTTTAAATTCTCTGAAGACTGAAGTTCCTTAAGGACTAGGAAAACACTTGCCTCCCTTCCAGCTCCTTTTCCTGGTAATTGGTTTAGCTTCTTTTTCCCTGAATTTCTGCATTGCTGTCCCATCTTGGACTGGAGGCAGGCCCGCCCCTTGGCCCTCTGTCTGCCTGTGCCTGGGGAACAGCTCCACCCGCTTCCTGCTTTGCTGTCCTGCTCTGAATTCACCCTCCTTTCCATCATCAGTTGGAATCACCTGCTTCTAGATGCTTCCATAGCCCAGGTGACCTGGCTCCATCCCCCAAAGACATACACTCAGGTGTCCTGAGTCTTTCATCCCCCTTGCTTGCTACGTTTAAAGTAATGGCGAACAGTCAACAGAGCTGGTTATTTCCTCCTGCCTTGAAGACTCCTCTTGTCTGTGGACACTCCCTGCAAATCCTGCCCCACCTAGGACTGGCAGAGCAAAACTGATGATGGGCCTAAGATGAAGGACAGGGCTATGGAAAGCTGGAGGCCGGACTCTGCCTGTGATAGACTGTATTTGCCCAGTCCTTGTCTCCCCAGGCCTCAGTTTCCCCAACTTCCAAGGCCAGTGAGACTGAAGTGATTTGTCACCAAGAAGCTGAAAGGCAGCATGAGGCTTTCAAATGAAAGGCTTTGCTAAAAACACGACCAGTCCAAATTCAGTTCAACAGGGGTGGTTAGCAGTCAAGGTTAAGCCAGAGCTGCAGCGGCTTCTGTTGGAAAATGGGTGTTTTAGACAGGATGGTCTCTCACATTCCCTCTTACCAACTCTGCAACTCCATGGCTTGGTCTCTCTCTGTGTCCAGAATGCAAATGGGGTCCTTTTGTGTGAGTTGCCCAGGTGGCTTCTGGGCTGTGATGGGCTGGGGCCTGAGCATGGAGACTATGGTGGTCTGAATGTGTTGCACAATTGCAGGAGGATGGCCATCGTTGGAGGTGTGGCCCTAAAAGGGAGGGGCTTCTGCCACTTGAGTGCGCGTGCACGTCCGTGAACATGTGTGTGTGTGCGCGCGCGTATGTGTGTGCGCGC